GGAAAATAGATAGAAAAGAACAAATAGAGGAAAGTATGAAAAGGAGGAATAAAGGAGTGGAAGAGGAGGAAGGAGGAGAAGGAAAACTGAAAAAGGAGCGAAATCATGGATATCATTCAAAACATCGCAAATGGTTATAGGAGGCTTTTTGCGCTTATATTTACATAAATTACAATATCAAATTCCTTCCATCATCTCCATCTTCGTTATTCCTCTTCCTACTCCATCTCATGACCTTTTCATTCCATTCCATTTCATTCCATTCAATTCCATTCTATTCTATTTCATTTCATTCCATTCCACCTTGCTCCTGTTAGATTAATTGATTTGATACAAAAGGTCAAAAGATAGGTTATATATGTTAAAAAAAAAAAAAAAAAACGAATGCAAGGAATGCTTTTTTTCCTTCCCCGGCTTCTACCGGGATGCTTTCTTCCTTTTCTGACTTCTATCGATTCTTGTAAATGTTTGTTTCAAATTGGACACTTTTTTTTTTCCTTTTATTAACTAATGAATAATTTCGATGGCTTAAATTGTCGCATTATTTGTCATCAAATTTGCACAAACAATGGGGAAGAAGGCATATATCTAACGCTTAAAGTTGTAAATTTTTGAAATTGTTTAATTCTTTTTTTTCTTTTTTTTTTTTAGATACTTTTATTTCTGTATTGAAATCATTCAACCATGTGGAAACAATCGTTTGGATTTATTTTTACATTTCGATGTTTAATTTTATGAATTTTGATGACTTCTGAAATGTTTTATATATATATACATAGATTACAATGGAATTATAAATTTATAAATTTCAGAATTTCAAATAATTTATTTTCCCTTATCTTTATTTCCTTGATAAATTTTCAACATCCATTTTAATTAATTGTAATATGCAAACTTTATAAAGAGGAAGAATAAGTCCATCAAAATGTTGACCTTATTATATATAATATAAAGTTGAAAAATACTAAACTTATCCTAAAAGGATATAAAATGGATGATCCGTTATGAAAATGCATTAATATAACACTTCAACCATTCATCAATCAAGGATATTTGTCTATTTTGTCCATTTGTTTACGCATTTTAAAATTGCTAAGATATAGTTTAAAATGACCTTTCTGTTGAATACAAAACAATATAAAGTTTTTAAAGAAAAAAAAAGAAGAAATTCATTTTAATTCTTACAAAAAACAAATTGTAAAAATAATTTGAATTATAAAATTACTAGAAAAAAAAATGTTATTCATTAAAATTATTCATTTTTTAACTGCCTTATCATTCCGTTTTTCTTTTCTTCATAATATTATGGATTATTTCCTTTTTTTTTTTTTTAATTTGCAATCTTTCATTCATTAATTAATCTTCCGATGGTATATTTCGATTAGGTTCTTTTTTTTTTTTTTTTTTTGTTTTTGTTTTATTGCAATAATTGTGTCGCATTCATTATCCATTACATTAAATTATACAACAAAAATAATTAATTTTTCTAATTTTGAAATTTAAAATGAAATTTAATTGTTGTGGAGAAAAAAAAAAGCAAATGTTCATTTTTCGTTTTTTTTCCCCTTCCAACAAAAAAAAAATTTTTTTATCGAATTTTGTTTTTTCCTTCTCTTCCTTTTGTATTTTTCAATCACACATTTTCCCATTCATATCTCCGAGTAAATTGTTTGATTTGATAACGATATACATCATTATTTTACATACTTTACGGTTATATCAATACATTGCTTTACTTCTCTAATCCAGGTCTAGTCTAGCCTAGTTTGATTTAATCTAGTCCAATCTAGCTTAATCCTTCTTTCTTTCTTTATATTTTACCCTTTTTCTATCCTTTCATCTACATTTCCTAACTTACTTGATTATTTTATCATAATGGAAGCAAAAAAGAACAAAAAAAAAAAAAAAGGAAGTTATAATATTTTTTTTCTTTTTTGATTCTTATCTGATATCATATCAAAAAATAAACCCTTTTCTAGATTGATTAAAAAAAAAAGTACAAATGATAAAAAAAAAGTGAAGTGATGAGAGAAAACTAAAATATGAAAAAAATACGAGAGGATATGAAAAATAACACGAAATTTCTCTGACATAGAAAAATTTTATTTGTAAATCTTAGGTGAAAAAAAAAGTTTAGCACTTCAAAAAAAAAATTGAAATTAAATTTTCAAATTTTTTAGTAACAACAATAAAAGAAAGAAGGAAAAAAAAAGATGCTATTTTTATGCTTTAGAAGAAATGCGTTGGACTGGCGGAGTTGTCCATGCAACTAATAGAAAATTGACATTTGCAAAAATTGAAGTTATTAATGAGACTTTTCAAATTTTATAAAGCAAAGATTGGATGTAAATTTATTCATGTTGGCGAAAAATTTGGATATATTTGAATAAATCTAATAAAACGAATCTCTGATCAATAAAAAGAAACGGAAAAAAATTGTGTGTTAAAAAAAAAAAATTCACATAAATTAAAAAAAAAAGAGAGAGAAAAAGAAAAAGAAAAGGAGAGAGAGATTTGTTAATTTTTCAAACCTTTCAAATTTTTAATATCCCTTAAAAATGAAAAAAAAAAAGAAAGAAGAAAAAGAACATTGTAATGCCAAAAATATACATTATCGTTTAATTATTTCATAATTAGACATCAGTATATATTACCGTTTAATTATTTTGTAATTACAACATCAGAGATTGATTAATTATCCTACAAAAAAAAAAAAAAAAAAGGAAAGAAAGAAATTAAAGGCTTTCTTTTTTTTCTCTTATCGCATAAAAATTACTAATTATAACTATTATGAAAAAAATTTTTTTTTTTATATTTTTATAAATTTCAATTAATCTGATTGACGAAAAAGTTTTGAATATAGTAAGTGAAAATTCCATTTCCGCTTCCGTTTGATTTTTTTTCTTTTCCTTTTTAAAATTCCATTTTCATTTCTATTTCTGTTTGCTTTTGACTGTATTTTTTTGCTTCGAAATTATGAATAAAAAATAAAAATTTACTTGCGCTATTTTATTTATTTATTTATTTCTTTATTTTTATTTTCCCAAAATGCTTCCATGGAACAGTAGATTTTGGAATTCAATTTTAAACTAGGAAAGCAAAGTATGGATGAGTAGATGGATCAATGAATGGCAAAAAAAAAAAAGGAAAAAGGA